AAAGAAATTCAAGCATTAGAAACTAACCACACCTGGTCTTTAGAACCATTGCCCCTTGGAAAGGCTCCCATTGGTTGCAAATGGGTGTATAAACTTAAATACAAAGTTGATGGCACCCTGGATAGATACAAGGCACATTTGGTTGCTAAGGGGTATACACAGCAGGCTAGGATTGATTATGAGGAGACTTTCTCTCCTGTGGTCAAAAGGGTTACTATTAGGATAGTTTTGGCTTTGGCTTCTATGAATAATTGGCCACTTTATCAACTTGATGTGGACAATGCTTTCTTGCAAGGGGACTTGCAAGAAGATATTTACATGACATTACCTTAAGGTTTTCCAAAATTGGGGGGGGGGGGGGGGGCAGTATGCAAGCTTCATAAATCTTTATACGGGTTGAAACAGGCTTATAGAGCCTGGAATTCTAAGTTAACTACAACCCTTTTGGATGGTGGTTTCCAGCAGTCCAAGTCAGATTACTCCTTGTTTATCAAAAGAAATTAGTCTCATATTGTCATGCTTCTTATGCAAGTTTCATAAATCTTTATATGGGTTGAAACAAGCTTATAGAGCCTGGAATTCTAAGTTGACTACAACCCTTTTGGATGGTGGTTTCCAGCAGTCGAAGTCAGATTACTCTTTGTTTATCAAAAGAAATTAGTCTCATATTGTCATGCTTCTTATGCAAGCTTCATAAATCTTTATATGGGTTGAAACAGGCTTATAGAGCCTGGAATTCTAAGTTGACTACAACCCTTTTGGATGGTGGTTTCCAGCAGTCCAAGTCAGATTACTCCTTGTTTATCAAAAGAAATTAGTCTCATATTGTCATGCTTCTTGTGTATGTGGATGACATTGTGATAACAGGTAATGATCCAGTTTTGATCAGTCAAACTAAGTAACTGTTGCACAACAATTTCAAGCTGAAAGATTTAGGTGTATTGAGATATTTCCTAGGATTTGAAGTAGCTCGATCATTTAAAGGAATCGGCACTTGTCAAAGGAAATATGCATTGGAACTTATCTCGGAATCAGGCTTATCAAGTTCTAAACCATCCTTAGTTCCCATGGAACCCAATATTAAACTCACCTCGGCAGCATATAACCGTCAGTTTGCTTCTAATAGTGCGCAACATGATCATTTTCTTGAGGATCCAACTATTTATCAAAGATTGATAGGTAAGTTGTTGTACCTCTGTATGACCAGGCCAGATCTTAGCTACTCAATTAGCCTTTTAAGTCAATTTATGCGTCAGCCCAAGCAGTCCCATATGGTAACAGCTTTAAAGGTGGCCAGATATGTGAAATCAGCTCCTGGACTTGGTTAATTCTTTCCTACTCATAATACGTTGTCTTTATCAGCCTATAGTGACTCTGATTGGGTTACTTGCTTAATGACAAGGAAGTCCATTACTGGTTTTTGCATCTTTCTTAGCTCTTCTCTCCTTTCCTGGAAATCTAAGCACCAAGCCACTATTTCAAAGTCTTCCTCTGAGGCTGAATATAGAGCTATGACCTCTACCGTATGTGAAGTCATCCGGTTGGTCCAATTACTCAAAGAACTTGGCTTCTCCAATTTGCTTCCCGTTACCCTTCAGTGACAACCAAAGTGCCCATTACATTGCCTCCAATCCTATGTTCCATGAGCAGACCAAACACATTGACATTGATTGTCATATTGTCCATGAGAAGCTCAAGAATGGCCTTACCACTACTGCGCATATTTCTTCCTCTGAGTAGCCAGCCGATATTCTTACTAAAGCACTTGGAAAGACTTATCATCATCACCTATTACACAAGTTGGATGTGCTAGACCTCTATCACCCTTCGATTTTGAGGGGGTACTAGATATAAAGGACATTTATGTAATTTATAGCTAAATCTCTTTTTAATTATCTTTGTAAATATGTATCCTCATTTTGATTTTCTATATATATGTATGTATGTATGTATGTATGTATCAAACAAATCAACAATATTTTTCAGTATCATTTAGAAGTTTTTAAAATAAGTATCAAAGTTTTTGAAAAATTCTTAGAGGGGCAATCAATATAAATAATTAACATATATAACTAATATTTATTCGAGCTTTATCAAGCTCGTGAGCCTCAGAGCTCGAAAGCTCGATAGAGCTCGCAAATTATCTGATGTTTGAAAGCTTCCAAGTCGAGTACTAACATGTTCAATACTTGGCTCGAATATCAATCAAACATTTCAAGTTCAAGTTTGGTTCGAAATGTGTCGAGCCAAACACGGGCTTCCGTTGAGTTGAGCTCGAATTGTTCATGAACTGTTCTGATCGTTTATAGCCTTAGCCTCTCGGTGTATTATGTTCTCCTTTTCTCATTGTTTTAAGCTTTCTCAGTTATTGAAAACATTGTATTTGGTATAGGATGTAGAATTTCATTATCTTGTAATAAGCAAGCAAATGGTTAGTTGTCAATTTATCTATTTTAATTGTTGTTTTCCATTCCATCAATATCCTTTTCATAATGCAATGGGAAAATCATATTGCTTAATTATTCTGATAGTTTTCCATTCCTTTCTGTCAGTATTATTTTTTATCCATACCAAGCATTAAAGAAGTAGAGCTCTGATGATTATGATTGCTTTCTGTCAGTGCCAATATTGCAGACTGAACTTTGTCAATTCCCTAAAGGAAGAGAAATGTGAAGTAACACAAAAAGTTGAATCTCACCCTTGCCGTAAAAAGGTGCTGTGAAATTTTTTATATTTGGTCCTTGTTATTGAGAATGTTTTTAAAAAGATTTCAAATGTAAAGCCATATTTTGCCTGTCAGATCTAAGTAAAAGAGAACTTGGTGTCTTACGGAATATCTAACTAAAACTCTAAACTCATCCATAAAAATTAAGAAAATGATGCCGAAATAATAAGATGATTGAACAATCAAGGAACAATTGATACAAAAAACCACCACCGAATGTATTAAGTTCAGATATTGGATTGAATAAAAAACCATAAAAGGTTCTTAAACTTTCATTTAATAAAAATAATTATCAAAAACTGTCCTATTACGACTATAATAGCCTTTTTATAGTTTGCCTAATCAAAAAACCAAGAAAAAGAATATTAAATAACTATCGCAAGAAGGTCCCAAAACATTCAAAAAGCTGTAATAAACCCAAAAACTTTAAGAGTTTGCAAACACACCCCTAAAATCATAAAAAAGGCCTAAAAACCCATCTAAACGATTTCGAAAGGCTAAAAAATGAAAAAACTTGTAGCCTTGCCACAAGCCTAACTTATTTGACCGTTTTAGAATGTCACACCAAAATTCGTTGCATTTTGACATCATCAATACTATTCAGCACTATTCATATGATACTGTTCATCACTGTTCATATGACACTATTCATTATTGCATCATTCTTTCCCACCAAAAAAGGATTCGTCCTCGAATCGACAACCGCATGCTCCTCTGCGACGCTATCTACCAATTCATCTGCATGGTACGGTTATAAATCCACAACATTGAAGGTGCCAAAAACATTATACTCACCTAATAACTCAATCTCGTATGCATTGTCATTGATACGCTCTAGAACTTTGAATGGACCATCAGCTCTTGGTTGTAACTTTCCAAATCTGTCCGTTGGAAATCATTCTTTCTAAAGGTGAACCCACACCAAGTCCCCTAGTTTGAAAACAACCTATTTGTAATGCTCGTCAGCCCGTTGTTTGTACCTTTCATTCTGCTTGACAATACGTTTCCGAACCTACTCGTGTAACTCCTTAATGAACTCAACCTACTCATCAGCATCAGAACTGAATTGGTTAACAATCAGAAATGGTGCCAAGTCCAAAGGTGTGATTGGATTACGACTATTTACTATCTTGACCGGACCTTTCCCTGTTGTGTGATTCTGAGATCGATTATATGCAAATTCTGCATGTGCAAACACCAAGTCTCATTGCCTCGAATTATCTCTAATCAAACTCTGTAACAATTTTTCGAAGCTCCGGTTTACCATTTCAATCTGCCCATCTGTCTGTGGGTGGTGAGAGGAACTAAATTGTAATTTGGTATCCATTGTTTGCCATAGAGTGCACCAGAAATGACTCAGAAATTTGACATCTCGATCTGAAGTCAGCGACTTAGGAACTTCATGGAGCTTGACAATTTCCAGTAGAAACAACCTTACCACCTATGAAGCATCAAAATTTTTGTTACAGGGGATAAAATGGGCCATCTTCGAAAATCTATCAACAACCACCATAATGGAGTCTTTATTCCGTTATGTTCTTGGAAACCCCAACACAAAATCCAAACTCACATCCTCCCACAGTGCTACTGGAACAGGTAATAGTGTGTATAAACCTACATTGGTACTTCGAGTCTTTGCCAGATGATAAATTCTACAACGTTCCACAAGACCCCTAACATCACGCTCCATACGAGGCCAGTAAAAATGCTCTGATAGTAAAGCTAACGTCTTATCCTTCCTAAAATGTCTAGCTAATCCTCCAGCATGGCTTTCAATAATCAGGGATTCCCTCCATGAACATTCAGGAATGCATAGTCTATTCCCCTTGAACAAATACCCCTCTTGAATCAGAAATTGCTCACAAGAACCACCCTTACACATTTCCTAAATATCACTGAAGTAAGGATCATCTCGATAAAGGTCCCTAAATGTATCAAACCCAGTACTTGCACCTGCATTGTTGAGAGTAAAGAATGGGGCCTACTCAATGCAGTTGCCACCCTATTAAGAACCCTCAATTTATGTTTAATGGAAAAAGTAAAAATCTGTATGAATTACACCCATTTAGCATTTCTTGAGTTGAGTTTGTGTTGCCTATTAATGTATTTCAATGCCTCATGATTAGAATATATATAACACAAATTCCTTTAAAAGTAGATAATGCATCCAGTACTCCAAACTCCTTACTATCACATAAAATTCCTTATCATTCGTAGAGTATCTCCGTCTCGCATCATTAAGCTTCTCACTGAAAAAGGCAATTGGCTTGGTCTTCTAGCTCAATGCTTCCCTAATCTCAACATTCGAAGTATCACAATGAACCTCAAATACCTCTCCAAAGTTTGCTAGCACCAAAACTGAAGCCTCTATAACCTTGCTTTTCAAAAGTTGAAAGGCATTTTTGGCTTCTTTGGTCCATACAAAACGTCCAGCCTTCAAACATTCGATAATTGGCGCGATAATGGTACTGAAATTCCGAATGAACCTTCTATAAAATGATGCCAACCCATGAAAGCTCCGAATATCATGAATGTTTTTCGGTGTCGGCCAACTCGTTATTGCCTCAATCTTGGCTAAATCCATTCTAATCCCATCTGTTGATACTATATAACCTAGAAACGCCACAATCAGTGAGAAAATGACACTTCTTCGGATTTGCGTATAACTTCTGCACACATAACACCTCAAAAACCCGCCTCAGATAGTCTAAATGCTACTTCACTGAAACACTATAAACAAGGATGTCATCGAAATAAACGACAACAAACTTACCTATGAATGGCCAAAACACTTGGTTCATAAGGCGCATGAATGTACTCAGTGCATTGGATAGTCCAAACGGCATTACCATCCATTCATACAACCCATAGCGCATCTTAAATGTTGTTTTCCATTCATCCCCCGATCGAACCCGTATTTGATGGTAGCCACTCCTCAAATCTATCTTTGAAAACACAGTAGCCCCATGAAGTTCATCAAGCAAATCATCAAGTCGAGGAATTGGAAATCGGTATTTGATAGTGATTTTGTTGACAATCGGACTATCAATACACATCCACTAAGACCCATCCTTCTTTGGAACCAATAAATCCAGAACAGCTTAAGGGTTCATACTTTCTCTAATTACACCTTTTTCTAACAATTCTTGAACTTGCCTTTGTAACTCTTCATGTTCTTTTAGACTCATCTGATAGGCAGCCTTGTTGGGAATGACAACTCCCAGAACAAAATTAATATAGTGTTAGATGTCCCTCATAGGTAGTAATCTAGATGGCATCTCCTCCAGAACCACGTCACCAAACACATCCAATAATGGTTGAACTTGGGGCAGAATAGTAACAACCTCGTCATTCTCTTATACTACAACCAAAGCAAAAACCTCTTGTGATTTTTCAATCGCATCCACAATATCTGACTTGGACAATAGGTGATTCACATTACCCTTATTGTCTTGCCTCACATCTAACGGCCCTAACATGATCGTAATACGATCTTTTTTGAAGGTGTAAGTATTTCTGAAGTCATCATGTTTCGTCTTCCGATCAAACTACTAAGGTCTCCCTAACAAAAGATGACAAGCATCCATTGGTACAACATCACACCACACCTCATCCTAATATTTTTTTCCAATCGAAAATTGCACAAGACACCGTTTGTTCACTTTTACTTCATTTCTTTTTCGAAACGAGGAAAGTTTGTATGGTTTAGGATGTTCTTCCATCTTCAAATTCAACTTTTCTACCATAGATGCAACAACAACGCTTTCACAACTACCCCCATCAATAATTATCGACACACTTTTCCCTTCAAGGTGCACTTAGTATGAAAAATGTTGTTTCTCAACCACTGCTCATCCTCTATTGCAGCAGTATTCAACAATCTACGAAAGACTAAAGACTCACCTTCATCTGCATAGATGATTTCGTCTTCATTTGAATCTGTTTGTTCATGTTCTTCCCCTACATCATCATATATTAGTGTAGCATCTTCCTCAATCAAGGTCACAATCTATCGATTTGGACAGTCTGTTGCAAAGTGCCCGAGTCCTTGACATTTGAAACATTGTCTCCCCTTTCCTCATGTTGATCTAGCCTCAACTACTTGTTTAACCTTCAAGTTTGCCTTAGAATTACTAACATTCACTGCCACTGTCGTTGGTTTCAAAGATGTTGAACTTCCTCGACTCCCTGAATACTCATTTCCTGAAAAATGATTTGAATACCGTGAACCTCCNGTTGCCATATCTCAAGCACAAAAGCAAGAGACTCTATCTTCAACAATGGGTTCATCAAGAAAGGAGGCTGAAAAAAAACAAACCCCCAAGAAACAAAAGATAGTCTTTACAGCGATACACTTGATGAAGCGTAAGAACCACAACGGCCCACAAGAATCTGAAGCAGCTAGCGGAATTTCAACAGAAGTTACTCTTTTTCATCAAAGAAATAATAAGAAGCCGAGAACAATAAGTTACACCATTCTTTCACTGACAAACAACACTCAAGTTTCAACACAACTGAAGTTGTTTGATGATACTTGGCCGACTGCTAACATACCTGTGGCTAAAGAATACTTTGAGGGGGTCAGAAAGAAAAGAGAGATGGCAAACTCCAAGATTGCCATGATGAAACATTACAGCCCTGAAGAGGAGGAAGAAGAGAGGATGAAGGGAGTTTCAACCAAACTAAAACTTTACAATGATCCATGGAATATAAAGAAGAGGCTAACAAAAAGTGATATGGGTCATCTCTGTAGGCTTTTGCTGCAAACAAGTCCGATGGAAAAGTATGTGTTGCCATTCCTCAACAGGCATCAGATTAATGAGGTTCAAAGCAAAGAGGGTATGAGAGTGATGGTGTGGGATCAAGATACTCAATCCCAGCACTCATTGATTATGAAGAAGTGGTCAACTTCAAAGAGCTACATTTTCATTGACGGATGGACTCAAAAATTCGTCAGTAGACGAAACTTGAAGACGGGAGATGAAATTGGACTGTATTGGGATCCGTACAATTCAATATTTAATTTTCATGTTTTTCAACGTGCGGCCTAAAATTTACATTTAACTTCCAGATATTCCACTCAATGTAGCTACGCAAGAGCATGTATGGAGTTTAATTTAATTTAGTCAAATTTTCCAATTGCAAATATTAAATTTTGATTTTAAATTTCATGTAATGTTCTGTTTTGTTCACATAAAAGTTATCCTATAAAGACGCAGTAGAACTTTTACAATAACTCGTGTCTCTTTTGTTATGAATACCAGAAGTTTCTCTTGAAAAACAAATCCCCTAGAAACAAATGCTAGTGATACACAGGATATATAAAAGAACCACGACAACCCACAAGAATCTGAAATTTCTTCGGAAGTAACTATTGTTCATCAAACCAACAATAACAAGAAGCGAAGAACAAGCACCACTAAAATCGTCTTTATCGGATAAAGAATACTCAAGTTTTAGTAGAACTCAAGTTGTTTGATGATACATGGCCTGGGTCAACTGATAAAGAACACTATGAGGGAGTTAGAAAGAAAGGAGAGACGACCAACTCCAAGATAGCAAGGATGAAACATTACACACCTGAAGAGAAGGAAGAAGAGAGAGTACTATAGGGTGTTTCAATCAAACTAAAACTCTGAACTCATGCATAGAAATTAAGAAAAGCTGAAGAGGCTTGCACAAAGGGACTCATACGCTTTGGGAGATATATTACATTGTACTGGATATAATTTATTCATTTAGTTTTTTTTTTTTTTTTTTTTTTCATTTTTGTAATTAGTTTAGTGTTTTTTATATTAATATTATTATCTTAAGCCTTTTAATTGAGTCTTATGAGATGTTTATAATCTATTTAAACACTAATGTTAAGAGTTAGTTTGGGATTGTTGTAATTTCAAATATAATCAATTTTTATTTAATTTTAAAAACAATTAACTTTGAAAATAATTCAAAGGATATTTAGTAAACTTAATTTTTTTAAATTGCGATGAGTTTCAAAAACTATATATTTTTCCTTTAAATATTTTTATATTAGAAAAATTATTTTGATAAATATTTAAAACTATATTAAATAATTTTATATACAAAGAATTTGTTTATAATTTATAAAAAAAAAAAATTAATAATTGAAAAGTGCCAAAAACTCTCAATCATCATCGGTTCCGATGAGCCACTACTGGCAGGGGCGGATCCAGAAATTTCTGCTAGGATGGGCCAAAGTAAAAATTAATTATGCATTAATACTTTTGTCTATTAATATTTTTGTTAGGGTGGGCCAAAATATATAAATTATACATATTAATATTTTTAAAAAAAAAATTGAGGGCCCACCCAAAAAATGGCTAGATCCGCCACTTACTACTAGCAACTACTAAAATAGCTCCGAGATCGGAATCCATCGATCTACACAACCCAGGTGGTTCCGCCAGAAATGGCAGTTCGAACCTGACAGTGGATGCTATGGTTCATCTATTTTATTTGAAAAAATATATATTTAATTTATTTTATTGATTAATTAATGTTTTGGATAAGATTTCAATGTAATATATATAAATTGATTAATTTAAAATATTGATCATAAATATATATTTAGGTTTAGCTGAAGACATTGGAGTGAACTAATTGAAATATCAATATCCATAATATTTAAAATTATTTGGAGAGGAATTAGATATGATGCTATAGTTTCACCATGTTCAAAGAGTAGTTAAAATCAAACCTATCCGATTTGTACAGTGGGATGGTTCTTGCAATTGCGGTATAATACAGTCCAACCCAGAGGAAGTTATGACACAGTCCAATCCGAATGAACAAAATATTGTATTGAATCGTACCAGTCTCTACTGGCTTAGTAGGCTTTAAAATGATGATACAAAACTGTGTGTTAATAAGTAAATATTGGGGTTGTGTAGTGGTTTGATGTTTTCAATGGTTAAAATAGTGCATATCTAAATAACTGCTCTATCTGGATAAAGCCCATGGGTTACTGTGCTTATAAAATCTGCATTTGAAATGCAAAATATACAATTGGATTGTATTAAAATCTCTGCATTTCAAGCTTTAATTTCCAAGTTTTACTTATATATTTATGTTCAGCTTGAGATACTGGGTCAATTAAATAAAATACTGCATCATCTTACTACAAAAATTTTGCATTCTTTCTGATACAAACACTTTTATGGGAAGGTAAACAGAAGCCATACTCTATAAGGATAGAGACATGCAGTGTTTCAGATGCTATCTTCATTATTCCCTGAATCAATGGCTTGACCGCCCCACTTCCGCATGCGCGCTGTTGTCTGTTCGACCTGAAAGTCAATTCATAATCTTTATATACCTTTACTTCACTCATTCTGAATTCTGATTCTCGTTTCAAAAGAATAAAATGTACAACACAAAAGCTCAATTTGAGTAGACACAATGTAAAGTCATTCTGTTATGCTTAATGATCAAGTAATTTGCATTACAGATTTTAGTTACCTCCTTGCTCCAGTTGGTTCTGTAAAGTACAATCAGGAGCAGCAATGTTTGCAATGCAGTTCCACATATCATGCCCGACCAAAGTCCCTATATTAGCGAAAAATATTAGCCAGATTTACAGGAAATCATTGATGAAAAACAAAGCAAACAAACATTGCGGAAAAATATTGTACCTTCACGCCCAATTTTGCTTCATAACCAAGGAGGTAACCGAGAGGGAGTCCAAATACGTAGTACGAACCTAAATTGATGTAAGCCACCAATGCTTGCCATCCACCACCAATAGCAACACCTGAGAGAAGAGAGAAGTAATTAAAGGAGATTCGCTAAGAAGAAGATGAAGGAGTTAGTTTCAATGGAAACTCAGATTGTTACCTGATATTACTGGTTGGACACTGTTAAGGACCATGGTGATACCAAGGAGGAATGCTAGTTTAGCCACGGCAATTTGCAGATCCTTGCTGCTTGTGAAAAAGACAGCAAAATAGTCCTTAGTTATCAATATAACTACCATGAAAAAAAATCCTATGAGAAGAGATTGAAATACTGTCACATAGACTGAGTATTTGGCTGCTCTAGGACGTCCCAATCCAAGCTCATTAGAGACGCGGACGCTGAAAATGTGAAAACAGAGAAAAATTAGTCAGAAATGTTAAAGTTTAAAGAAAATATGCATTTGGTATAGAGCATTCTGATAGATTGACCCTGTGATTTACCTTATTGCAGCATTTATTCCAATGAATAACATAGCTTCCCACCCGTTCAAGTTCATGCTGAAACATTATACCAAACGAGTAGATTCTGAGGATTGGCACTACAAATGGAAAATATATGGTGGCAAAAACAGTTTATACAAGTTATTAGGATGAACTCACCATATAGAAAGGGAACCGACTGCAATTACAGCATTATCAAGGTGGCCAGTGAGAATGATAATGCTCATCATATACCAAATCTCTAGGCAACTCATCACAGCTGAGGCAATTGAAAGCCGAACAAACGCCCAAATGTCATTAAATGCTGACCAAGAGAAGCCATGCCACCCCTCTTTGCACCAACCCATCACATATATAACTTGTGCAATGGTTATTTCCCAAGCTGTGATATCAAATGCTATAGCCGCACCAGTTGTGCCCCAATCGAATACATAAACGAAAAGATAAAGCAGTACAATGTGAATTGTCAGAGCTACAAACCCAATCCAAGCAATGACGCTAACCCTGCTTTGAGCCTGAAGGAACTTTTGAGTAGGAAAATTGATGGCAAGTGAAAACAATTGAGGAATAACTAAGAGAGTGAATTGTCCTGCTAGATCAGCTATTTCATCTTCTTGCCCAAGAAGTTTTAGGATTGGAGTGGCGAATATGTAGACGGGCAAGAGAATGATACAGCTCACCCATAAGACTATCCAAGAGCGCTGCATATAAACACCAAGCATGTGAACTTGCCCAGCACCAAAAGCTTGACCACACAGCGTCTCCAGAGCACTCCCCATGCCAAGCTACAATTTTGCACAACAAATTCAGGTTCTTTCTGTTCATCATGAATGAAAATCAAGAAATACCAAGCCTCAGCTTGAAAGAACTACAGCAAACTAACCCACTACTGTACTAATGTACATAACAATGATATACACATCCTATTTTTATCAATCCTGGCAATCAAAAATTTGATTTGCTACTAAAAAAGTATTACAAAATTTATAGAGAATTTTCTGACAAAAGGAGAAAAGGGAAAATTCAAAGTTTCTCTCAGAAACAATAGGAGTTCCAGAAGCAATATATAAAACAAAGAATCATAATGGAGGCAACATACAAACATACTTGGACACAGAAATCTACATCGCGCATTATCAGAGATAACATCTATTGCAATCTATCTGAATCAGAATAAAACACAAAAAACCCAGAAAAGAGAAAACAGTTTCAAAGTTCAAATCATGAAGCGACGAAACAAAAGAGAACAAAGAACAAAACAAAATAGACTGACCATGAAGCCAAAAGAGAAAGTTCCAATGACAGAGAGCGATATGGTTACAGAAGAGAGTTGAATATCCCCAAGATGCCCAACAAATATACTAGTAATCGAGTTCGTCCCGTATTGACACAAAATATTAAAAGCTATGGGAGCTGCAATCTTCCACATCTTCACAGTCTCAGTCCAGAACATTGACTTTGTTTCCTTCCAGCTTCTCACCGGCGCATAGTCTTCCTTCACTTCACCGTTGAGAAGCGGCGTCTCCATTGTTTCCGGCGGTGCACACGTTTACGATACTGATCTAATTCTAATATCACTATAGAGTCTAGTTTATTATACGTAGATGGGTTGTTGATATTTGATAAAGGTCTGTGCCTCGTTTTATGTAGTTGGTTTCGCTTTTCTTGTTATTTTATGGTTGTGCAGATTCAGCGGCCTCTCTCGTGCATGCTGACAAAACTTAATTGTCATCATTTGATCAGTAAAACCTTGTTGAAAAATCAATAAATTAGACTCTAAAATTGCCGATACTCATTTAACAAACAGAGATAAAACGTGTATAATGATAATTGATTTGATTTCCTCTTTTAATTACTATATATTCTTCTTTTCAAATTGATGTGATTTTAATTAAGGAGACCTTAAACTACAACTACCAGTCACAGTGAATGGGTTCCTTTATTAAATCAATGCATGAAGATGGTCAGTCGTGATGAGTACACCCATTTCATGAAACTGAGAATTGAATTTTCTATGAAAGTTTCACGTGATTTGGACCAAATCATTGTTTTGTTTTTTCTTCTCAAAATTTAAAAATTATTTACTTTTTTTTTTAAATCACTAGGTGGTGTTCAAATCAATGTGGGGTACATCTTAACTAATTATTCTAGACTCTGAAATTATCGAACGAATAAAAGTTTTAGTGACCACCTCTATTAACAATTATGGGGATTCAAACTCGGAAGACTATGTTAGATTATCCTTTTACTCTTTTACTATTAAATCATCCAATGGTGGTTAATTATATACCTTTTATCCTAAAAAAATTCAAAGAGCGATACTACATATATAAATTAATTATATAAATTATTCTCTGCAAATTGATATGTCAATCATGTATATTTGATATATCATCTACTCTAATTGTTTAACTTATCTCGTTAATTCAACATATTTAAATACACCATTTTATATGAATGAATTTGTATATATAACATTAGAATAATATTATGTGCACTAATTATTTTATACTAATCTAAATATTAATATTAAAAATTTAAAATTTTTCAAAAAAATTTTAAATTTTTAATATTAATATTTAGATTAATACAAATTGATTAATACACTTAGCATTACTCATAACGTTGTTATTTTCCAAAATATGGGGAGACTTGAGATTGGATATATATTGATTTAAATTTCTGAGATATCTTGGAATTAATCTTTACAGTTTCAGGAATTGGAATTAGTTGGTTTTCGTGTCAAATTATTAAATAATGAAACCATTTGTGGGATAGGTAAGGTGAATGGGCAAAACAGAGTCCACGCCGCTACTGTTTGGGAAATTGCAGACTGGTTGTTCGGTTGGTGAAGTGAACGGCCAAAATTCTGTCCACGTCCACCCCCTCTTTTTTTCTACAGATTGTTGTTATTGTAATTTTTATACGGTCTCAGAAGTTATTATAATCCTACACATGTTGCTCTTATTTTACGTGTCTTGGAGTTAACCATTTTAAAATAGGTTAAAGACACTCATCCTCATACTTTTAAAATACCACTCTTTTAACCTAAAACACAAACTTAATTAATAATTTTTTTTAAATACAATAATTTTAATTACAAAGATAAAAGTACCCCCACCAAATTTCAATCCCTAGTCATCGGTCACCGCAAATCAAACTTTCACTCATAATTTCGGTCAACTTCGACCACCATAATCTGACCTTTTACCACCAAACGAATCACCGATCATCCCTCTTTAATAGCTCTAACACTCTAAACCGTGATAGCTCTCCAATCGTCGGTGACTATGGTTTAGTTCTTTTGCTACAGGGTCGGCGTCCGATGAACGGTGAACAACCACGGTCTAAGATGATGCGGCTTTTGGAGAGGAGGTTTCGTTGATGCTACAAGTGGCTTTAAGTGAAATTTTCGACAACCAGAATCTAGCTTGGAAGCTCAATGGTCGTGCGAACCAAAAAACTGCAATGGCTGGAGATTGGCGTGCTCAGTGTGGTTGAAAAGTGCGGAGTATTTATGAGTGAAGGATGGGAAAGCTAAAGGTGGAGTCGACACTAATCAATGATGTCGGAATCATGTTGAACTGCCTGAACGGCCTAAACCTAGGGTTTGAGAAGATTCTGGCCAAACAACAATATAACCATTTTACCCTTCCTTTTAACTAGTTTATGACTATCTTACCTTTCTTCACAATAAAAGTTACTAACATATTTGTATTTTGGGTGAAAAAGTAATATTTTAAAAGTTTAAGGATGAGTATAAATTAAACCATTTTTTTGGGTGGGGAAAAAGTCCTTAACTCCATGGTTAATGAAGAAAGGACAAATTCCACGCTAAGGAGAGTGACATTGTATTGCTTTTAATGAACTGGTTTGGTAGCGCAAGTGACAGCTGCAGTATTTGACTTTTTAGCTATTGTTGATGTCCAATTTGAGGCCCGTATTGAATCTTGCCATGTTCATTTATTGTCTTATGTTCTACATGTCCTTTTCTGAGTAGTGATGGGTAGGGGTATTCAAAAGAACTAGATAGAATCGAAACGTGACCGATATACTAGGTTTAGTTTCGGTTCTTACTAAGAATTAGTCATTAATGGGTAGGTTTTGGTTCTAAATTTTTAAAATCGTTACTATACGGTTTCGATTTCGATTTCTATAGTTAGAAATCAGAGCTAAAATCAGGAATCAGGAATCAAGACTAATATAAAATAAAATTAAAGATTAGGAGGGTTAATAAAATTTTTTGTAGAAAAAGTAATGTGAATACATTTATATTTATATTTATATTTCATAATATTTAAAGTAAGTTGGTTTGACTTTTAAGAATCTACCTTTACAAAGTAATGGAGTTTGTAATTTTGAATTTATAATTTGTAATTTTATTTTCGTTAACAAGTGCCAAGTGGGGGGGTATTTGTAAGTTTTTTAGGGTTTTTTGTCATTTTAAAAACTTTTGGGGGGTCATGAATTATACAGGGTATCCAGAACAGGAATCAGAACCGTTGTTACAGGTTCTGGTTCTGGGTACCTAGGAACTGCAACCGTCGGTCTGGTTCCAAATTTCAAGGAACCGTCGGTTCTAGTTCCTTCAAAAAGTGCAGGGTATCCAAAACCGAACACCCCTAAGGATGGGCGTATGGGTGTTTGCCCTAGCCATGCGGGGATCCGACCTCACCTGGCTCAAATGAGGCGAGAAATCCTCTAAAATATCGATGACAAGGTTGAGGATGATCTCAACAAAATCCCATAAAAATTAGAGTTTAAATAATAGTTTTAAGAAATATATCTAAATTTATGATATTTAACTTTATAATACTTTTTAGTATTAAATTTCTAGAAAAAATAATTTAAACAACAGGGTTTAATAATTAAATATATGTATTATTACTTTATAAATTTCATAAAATAATAATACATGACCCAAAAATAAATTTAATTAGGTTATTACAATTTGCCAAACCAATATAAGAATATAAACAATTGTTTAACGAGTTATAAATTACACACATTCAATTATCCTTTTAATTAATTAATTGATCAATTAAATATGATGTTTAACTTAATCAATGATGGAATTTGGGATAATAGGATTTGTCCCTTTCACAAATTGACTGATTTTATTAGTTGTAGTGGAGATGGTGTTTTATAAATTAATTCATCAATTTACCTAGTAAATTATGTTAAAATTGAATTTAGTTATATTAATTTTGTGAAAAATTAATTAATTAACTGGGCTAACTAAGTCTAAGCCACCATACAATTAAATAATTAATTAATTTACCTAATAAATTATGTTAAGATTATATATAGGTGTATTTTTTTAATGAAAAATTAATTAATTAACAGGGTTGATTAAGCCTAACCGGCTAAACCTTCATACAATTAAATAAGTAATCAATCTACCTGGTAAATTATGTTAAGATTGAATTTAATTATATTAATTTTATGAAAAATTAATTAATTAACCAGGCTAACTAAGTCTAAGACTCAATACAATTGAATAATTAATCAATTTACTTAATAAATTATGTTAAGATTAGATATAGATATATTTAATTATGTTCGAGGAAAAATCTCCGTTGGAGAAATTTTCCCTCGAAGCCTCGTTCATCGGGCTAGGCCAAGACGGGGATGGAAGTGATTCCATCCCTACGGACAGGGGATGGTCATGAGAGTTGTCCCCGCCAGCAAGGACAAGCCAGAGATGGTCATGGGAGTGAATATCGTGGACGGGGACGGGAAATAGGGTCCCTGGACCCGACCCGGCTTGCACCCATCCCTATTTCTGAGTCCTTGTTAATAGTAAACGAAAGGGTTATTATCAGCAACCTCCCTTGAGGTTTAACTATAATAAATAAGTCCCCATATAAGTATTAAAAATACTAACTCACCCTCCTTGAGGTTGAATAATGAAGGATACACGTGTAGTTTTATTTTTCGAAAGGGTAATGTTGACATTGCGTTTATATTCAAATGAAGCATTTTTTTTTAATAGGAATATTTGCAGATATTACCAAGAAAAATAAACATTTAATTTGGCAACATGGGACAATTCCGATAATTGTTTTATTTGCTTAATTTATTAAAAATCAAAATGATTACATTCATCTCACCAATCAAAATTAAATGATTTGGCTTCATACAGAGAACTGGATAATTGTTTCATTAAAGAATATAATTTTAATCTTAATTTATTAAAAAGATTGATTCCTTTTTTTTAAAATAAGAAAAGTGGGCGTAAAATGATTTTTATTTTGACTTCCTATTTTAGATTTTAGGCGGGTCCTGAATCTGAAGGTTTGATTTTGTGGGTCAAGTTCTTGGCCCATTTACAAGCCCTCAAGGCTCCTTGGATCAGGGTTAGCCCATATCCATATTTCAAGGTCCAAGGCCCAGTTATGTTGGACTTCTAAGTTAAAAATGCATTGTTTCTTGATGAGTTTTACGATGGTTGGCAGAGTGGTGTTCTTTAAGTCTTGCTAAAAGTAGATTAAATTTATTTTTTAAATATAATATTTAAGAGGTGTTTATAATAATTATTATTATTTTTACCTTATTGTTATTTTCTTTAATTGATAACAGGTGAAATTTTTGAAAATAGTTGTTTTAATGCATTTTAAATTGTTA